GGCCCACCATACCAGAAAAATTTCATTAAATCGCAACAAAAGTTTTCTTTTTATAATTTTTTTTCTCATTACTTCTCTTTTCACATTACGACACATTTGATAAACTGATTATGATATTCTCTTACTTTGCTGTATTTTTTCACGTTTGAAAATTTATATATTTATTTTACGAGATACCAGATAATCTTGAACGTTGAGAATTTTTTGTGTAATATTGGTACTACATTCACTGCAATTTCAATAAGGAAATCTGTTGCAATGAAAACGGCCAGACCAAAAAATACACAGTCTGTTTAAATGACTACATTGAACTTTTTTTAAAATTACACTTACTTTTACTTTCTGCTTTACTTTTACCTTACTTTTACGATTAACAATTACCAACAATTTCTTTTCTTGCTGTTTTGACGGATCAGTAGATGTTTGCTTTGAACGTTCGTATGTAATATATTACATTATGTGTATTACTAATGTGTATGCATGTGTTATTATGTATTATCTGTCTTACTGCGTTATGAATGTATTATGTGGATATTACATGTATTATATTATTTCCATATACAAATTATGTACCATTTCGCGCACTTTATATATATATATATATATATATATATATATATATATATATATATAAAAGCATTCGCAAATCCCAGCGATGCTTCGCCAACTATAAGACCAAGATGATTGCACTCCGATACCCTGACGGGACACTTACAGCTTCCAGAAGGGCTATGGAGAAAACCATCCACCAGTACTACTCAGATCTCTTCGCTAGCCATGACCTCTTACCGTCATATAAATTGGAAGAAAATGAACATGCCGTTCCATCGGTCTTCCCTTGCGAAATCCGATAGCTATATCGTCGGTGAAGAACAGAACAACACCCGATCCAGACAGGATTAGACCAGAACACCTGAAGAACCTGCCGCCAGTTCTCATCAACACCCTGGCTCGGCTCTTCACTCGCTACCTGTCAGAATGCAAGTTTCCTATTCAATGGAAAACAAGCAAGACCGTATTGTTGTTCAAAAAGGGAGACTTTCACGACATAGGCAATTATCGCCCAATCTGCTTGCTGTCCGTTGTCTATAAACACTTTACCCGAGTCATCCTGAACAGGATTGACAGAACGCTGGACGAAGGACAGCCATGCGAACAAGCAGGGTTCCGAAAAGCATTTAGCACCATGGACCACATCCACACGATTACAAGAGTCAATAAAGTTTCACGAGAGTACAAGCAACCACTGTCTCACTTTCATTGATCTGAAGAAAGCCTTTGACTCAGGGGAAACAGAAGCGGTTATAGAAGCTCTGGATAACCAAGGCGTCTATATATATATATATATATATATATATATATATATATATATATATATATATATATAGATAGATATAGATATATATATATATATATATATATATGGCAAGTGACCCTACAAAACTTCTGAAACTCTTTAAAATGCTGGCAGAAATATGCCTATATGACGGATTACAGCAACGCATAATTAATAAGCAGAGCGCATGTGACGCAGTGATTAGAGATGCATACGTCATACGCAGGGTCAATGGTTCGATCTCGCGCTCGCTGAGAAACCTTCTGTATTCAAAACGCTCAAAAATTACGAAGATTCTCATGTCTAAATATTCACAACGTGAGTGGAAGTTGAAAGATATACAAGCTCACAGAGCGTTTGCAGATATGGTAACGGACCCCGCATAACTTCTGAAACTCTTAAAAATGCTGGCAGAAATGTGCCTATATGACAGATTACAGCAACGCATAATTAATAAGTAGAGCGCATGTGACGCAGTGGTTAGAGATGCAAGCGTCACACACAGGATCAAAGTTCGATCTCGCGCTAATGGCTCAAACAATCCGTTACTCCCAAGTCGGTGAACTGGTACCACACTTGTCTAAGAGGATAGCAGCACTGTTTTGATAGATCGGTGAGCCACCGCGAGCAATTGTAAAGGCCAGATATGCATTCAGTCACCTCAAACGAAGTTGGAAAATTAAAAACGAATACATGGCGCATTCTTCAGGGTTTATCAACGCCAAAAGCTTTATCATTTTATGCTTAACAAAGGTGTCAATACCATTCTCACTCACAGAACGATATACTAAAATCCTTCTACTAGCTTTTAGTTCTCAGAATCTACCAGTTCCTTTGTTTACTTAAGAAGTGACACTTATGTTTGTAAAGAAAGTCGAAAGTCGGTGTTGTAGTTTAGAAGTCGGTATGATTATTAGCTGGCACAGAACGTCGCCAACATTTTCTCCTTCAGAAGCTTAGTAGAGGGGATATTTCGTACGAGCGCTGCACCACTTCAAATGATCCCACTCTAAGGACGACGAGTGCTCTCTTCTCCACGGCCATCACATGTGTATCACGAGCTACAAAATTCCGGCCTCAAACCTGCCGGTAGTGCAGAAAGAGAAGAAAAAAATAATCTCATGTTGGCTTGACCATCGAAAAATTCTTCTGTCAAAAACTAAAAACATTTCTTTATAACGTCGGAACGCCAGCGCATTATCATTGCAACTTTCACCACTGGCCATACCTACCAATTCAAAACGTAATCATCAATCCTTTAGTTCAGCGTACTACAGAAACCTTCTCAGAAACCAACGGTAGTATTTAGAACTCTATTTCTGAAGCGGTCAAGTGTCTTAGAGGAAAAGTTTATTCCAGGAAAATGGCATGGAACACAAGCACATCACACATAATTTGTAATGAAAAGTGGAAATCTCCAAAAGGGGTGGAGGTCTTTTCCGTTGTTGGGGCCCATTATTTTCAGAGGTCTTTTTACCGGGCAGCGATTCTCCAGTAGAATTCCAGTAGTCAGTCGAAATCTAAAATTTAGATCAATTCAAAAATGTACTTGGTTTTCAAAAACATCTTTCTAGTGCGGTGTAGTGGTAAAAATGATATAGGGTTTCACATGCCGTGCATGTCATCGCGCGTATTTTCAGAATTTATTCAGAATCTTTTCGCCATTTCATGAAAATTTCTTATATCAGAACTACAAAAAGAGCTTTAAATTGTCATCCTGTGCTTAGGCTTTCCATTTGTCATACTATAGTGCCAAAATTCGCTGCTAAGCCTAAGCCTATGCACAAAAGTCTACGAGCGTCCAGAAGCAATTTTCGAGTGTAGATTCTACGTTTTAAAGCAGAGAGAAAGGCCCAATTCAATCAACAAAAATCGATCGCCCTGAAAAGCTGTGACTGTGAGTACTATGAGCGCAAAAAGCAATCTCCTTATCAACCCTACACTACTCTATAGAGACCTTTTCAAAGCCGAATTTGGTTTTAAAATCGTCAAAATGGGTGCTTAGAACCTATTGAAAAGATTTCTAAAGTCCCAGCCGTGCAAACAGTGCTTTCTGAGAACACCGAATGTAAAACTCAATTTTTACCCTGAAAAGTTTTTTGGAATAACTACAGCTTTGAAATCTTTGAGATTCAAACTATCGAATAATTACTAAGAGTCTAAGGAAAAACTGAAGAAGACCTTGTCTTTAAAGGGCAAAAAATGGGTCCCAACAACGGAAAAGCCTACTAGGCGTTTTTTGTTTTGAAAATACCTTTGTGGCAAACGTTCTTATATTCTTTGATCGCTTCTTAGTGGTAGAGTTTTCTTAGGATCAAAATTTCTACATGTAAGCCCTAACAAATCTGCTATGAAGTTGCGACAACGGGTTAACTACTCCGAAAGCAAAACGTTATGATCTTCCTCCTAATAAAACGTGCAGTGCGAGTCTTCTCACGAACCACTCTTGGTTTTCGAATCAGCATTTTCCAAGCTATCGAATGAATACTAATAGTCTAATGAAGAAGCCCAGTTCTGTAAAAAAGGTAAAGAAACACGAACTCACTCATCAGAGAATGACTGCATTATACACAACTGGTAATGAAAAGTGGATATTTTCAGGACATTGGCGCATTTTTTTACAGCAAATTAATTTACATAAGACATGGACTGATATTATATCCTTTCGTAGCGATTAAATTTCCTTAGAATCTCAATTTTGCTATTCCGTTAACAGAACATACTGTATGGGTCTCTTCACGAACTAGATTCAGTACTAAAACGTTCTTATATGTAAGACGGCAACAGATAAAAAACTGATCCTTTTCGGTGGCAAGAAATTTTCATGAGGGTGTTTCTATTCATTCGAAAGCATAAATCTCTGTCTACAGCCGTACGTAGAACCATTTTTTGAAAACACATTTTTATAACGCCGTAGAATTTGAAGTAAAATTATACTTCACTGCGGTAGCGCAAGTCTGTAATTATTTTGCCGGAAAGGGGTAAAGCATATGCACGTGTAGAGAAAAACTTTTAGCGCTAGAGTAATTGGTTTGATTTGGAGTTTCTTTCAAAGTAGAAAAAAAATTCCTAATCAAATAAAAGAAATCGCACTTCACACGTTATCCGTCTGGGAGCCATCGATAGATAATCGCGGCAACTCCCCTCTTCGCATCCGTGAATCTGTCAAAAAACCCATGCCCACGCATGTGAACCAATCTTATTTCCTCTGCTTCACTACAGAGATACGATTTTGCCAGAAAATAAGCACAGCGTGGGAATCGTTAAATATAACACTACCGAAAGGTTACTATTAGTCTAAAGAAGGAGCTCTCTCCTTCGAGAAATATGCGTGTGTGAAACACAAATGCTCTCTTCGCCAAAGCGTATTTGAAAAATTTTCTTCGAAAAACGGCTAAGTACGGCTCTATCCTGAGATTGAAGCTTTCGAATGGGTTTCAGCACTCTTGTGAAAAGTACTCGTCCAGCAAAAAATATGGGTTTTTTATTTATCGCCATCTCACATATGAGAACCTACTAAAATTTCTAGTTTTCGACCTATTGAGAGATTATCAACTGTCCACTAAAAAGCTCTCTTTTGCAAAAAGCAACAGTAGAGACCACTTATTCTTGGAGGCTGATAGCTAACATAGGGATGTTGAAGAATGAGTGGTCGGGCAAATGTGCCTCGTTGCTGTAGTGGTAGTAGCACGCGTCCCCAGTATGAATGAACCGCGAGTTCAATTCCCGCCTGAGGCCGTCTTTTTGCTCACAATTCAATCCTCTTAGGTATGAAACATATTGACACTGCGAAAAATGCAGTAAATGTTAAAAATTTCGAGTACTCAATAACTTGATCCAAAATTTTTTAGACAATCTGTTACGCGTGGTTCGAGCTCTGTATCGAAAAGTGGCACCCCTAAAGACTTTTCAGTGCGTAGTTCGTAACTTGAGGGCGTTTCCTGGCACAATTAGATGTCAAAATACTAATGAAACCTCTAAAGATGTTATTGTACAATCTAAAGCGACTACGTGTCAATAAAACGCTCACTCAGAAACGCTTTCACTGGTACCTCTGAAAATACTTTGTACCTTCAACATTTACTTCACATTATTTCGCCAAAATTCTTTTTGTTTGACCACTTTTAGTGGTCGTATGATGCTATGGATAAACCCAGTGAAGTAGAGTGATGTGCGAAGGCATTGCATCAATTCGGGACGCGGATCCACACCAAACTTTGTCCGAAAGCGCGCGCTCTAACACGTTGCACTAATGACGCTCGCTTGCATCTGCTTCTACGTTATGAGTTCCGCCTAACGCAAAAGTTTTGCACATCACTCTTTATCACTGGGCATTTCAGTGATATTGTAAACGTCTCAGTGCAAAGACTAACCCACAAACTACAATAGTGGCTTTCAACATTTTTATAGATACTACTTAATGATCACACGCAACCTCTTATGCATAGAATTATGACTACCATAACCTTGTAAATTTTGAAGTTCGCAATCTGTGCATTATGGATCCCTACTATACTACCGTTTTTCCCACTACTATGCGAATTTCAGTGCTTCTAGTATTCGATTCGCTTCTTCGCATTTATCGTCCCGACAGTTTTAGAACATTTCTCGTGTTGTTCAAACAGTGCTTGAGGATTTCGTGCGGCGAGACAGTCCGCAGTGATGAGTGCTCATGTAAAATGAAAATAAATAGATCAACAGATCTTTTTATGCTAGCTGACTTAAGCTAGCAGAAACAGTGATTGAAACGAATGGAAACTATGCTCAAGTACGCAGTACCAGTTAAGACGGACCCTCCAAATATTCAACTATCTGTTATCTTTCTTCTTGATCGCACAAAAAAGGATGCTTTTGAAAAATATGTTCCAAACAGCACTCAGTGTGTGTACAGGAAAAGCAGGTATAATGCTCAAAGTTGGTTCGATAGATAGTCACTTCCAGTGCTTATGAAAATATAGATCATCGAGATATATGGAAGGAATAACGTTTTTCGAAACGATCCAGCAAAGACAAGGCTTCGTCTATTTTGCCGTCATTATGAAACAAAATAAGTGTAGCTACCAAAAGCGAATTGAAAAAGGCGAGCTTTGAGAAAACGATAACAATGACTGAGTACCACCGAATACTTTGAAGCATCAACTAGCTCGTAACCGCTTATATGACAGTCTATGTATAACGCAAGAATGCATAATATGCCGTAACGGTAATGATGGTGATTGCATGAATAGGATTATAGCTCAAATCTCTTGTAAAGCGTGCGGCAACAAATACATCACCGAAACGGGAAAGCCACTCTATACCTATATAAAAGAATATCTAACCGGCAAATTAGAGCTAAACGAGGTACTCAAGTAGGCTCGTACAGGACACGGACAGATGATAGAGAGGATTTTGAAGCAAAAGTCACCATTCTCGTGGAACATGAAACCTCAGCGCGTAAAATTTTGGAATCATTGTGGACTAACTCTATCAGTCTAAACGTGGACCACAGGGAGAAATACCTCGCTATTACACGCGATATGACACAATATGTAAGACTGTTACTTTGATATGGGGAGTGCCGTGGCCCAGTGGTTGTTATGCTCATCGCGGCGCGCATGGAGCCGAGTTCCACCTCCAACCCTCTCCAGAAATTAACAGCAACACTCTATGAAACGCCACAACCAAGCTATCCTCGAGATTCAAGGAGACTTGCTGAAACACTATTTTACGACATTCAAGTAGAAGACGGAAAAAAAAAACGAATTAAATATTGAAGGACTGTGATCCGCACAGTGAAAAGAAACACTGTAAGGACCGATCAATAAAGTATAAAAAAGTGCTATTTTGATATGGGAGATGTGCATTGGTAGCACTTGTGACCTCTGCACGACCTGGACATTTCACTGGATGACTCATAAAAAGCGATTTGTTGAACAATTGTTTTGCGCTTAACACCATTGAAATCTAGGTTTGGTGATTTTTTTTTCTGCTAAAGTAATGAGGGTGTTTACGTAACCTGGTTGCCGATAACCCTGATCTTTCCAGGCTCTGAAGAAGAAAGCGTCAATACATCAGCTCTTGGTATGAATTGTTTTGAAGCAACATCGTGTATGGCTCCCAAGGAAAAAACTGTGAGGTACTGAATAATGGAGAGGTTACTAGATAGTCGGTTTATGGAATTAATAAGTGAATGATCTGGACGACGATAAGGAAATGCGATACGCATCCGTAATTCGTTATCGCAAGAGATTCACTCCAACAATTCAACATTTCCATCTTGAAATCCAACTAAGCATATCCTACTATAGAGCTTGTTAAGCTAGCTATTCTTATTGCCACGAGCGATAAAAGGCTGCATGTGCACTACAGGTGGACGATCACAGGTGTTAGGTAGTACAGCTGAAACATTCCCGGAAACATGAGCCGCGGTAAACTGACAACCCACAATTCAAATCGCTCAAACTTCTAAGTGCACAAAAGTTAGTGCTCATTTATCAATCACTAATACTTAAGGGCGCATCTAGCGCAGTGGTTAGAGGTGCACTGTGTCGCACACAAGATAAATGGTGCGGTCTCGCGCCCATGGTTCACCACCCTCCCCATCCCTCCGGGGGTCAGTAAATTGGTGCCAGCCTTGTCTGGGAGGATAAGCAGCACTGAATCAATATATCGGTCGGCCACGGAGAGTTATTTTAGAGACCAGATATGCATTCAATCACCTCAATCAAAGCTAAAATTGGAGATGAATGCATGGCGCAACTCTCAGGGATTGAGCAGAGCCGTGGGCTTTATTTTCATTGTTCGTATTGTGAATTGCATTGTATACCATGATGTATTGTATCGCGGATAGAAAAAAATTTGGTGCGCGACTTCTAAGCCGATCTCATTCGCTAAACGGGAACTTTTCATAGGTGTGTTAGCAATGATTGAAAGCCTAGATCTCTGGCTACAACTTCACGTCGCTGGTTTTTCAAAACACTCCATTATAGAGCTGTAGCATCCGGAATAATATTTCGTTTTCACAGTCACCTCTCGCCTTCATTCCTATCACGCGTATAAAATACTGGAAGTAAGAAAAGCATATCAGCTTGTGTAGAAGTTTCCGTACCATCAAAATCTACGATTTTACCTGAGGCTTCTATCGATGCTATGAAAAAATCTCCAACTGAATAGCAATATTTTAAGCACATTGATGCTCCCCCCCCCCTCGCTGGGTTAGTTGGACTGTGAACAAAGTGGCCGAAAATGTTAAATTCGATCCCATTTGTCCAGTTAACGATAATAAGCACAACGTTGGAATATTTAATATTGTGTTATGAATAGGAATAAACAAGTCAGTCAACACTATAATCACTATGATCACTTTAACGACATTCCGGTGGCCAGAAGGTCCTAATTGCTTCCAATACTGATTTCATATCATCATCACCTCGTCATAGACAAAGATTACATTGAGACTATGAGGCTGAAAGCCAAAAAATTGTTAACTGCGATCATCTCGCGCCACATAAATTCCCTTGAGTTGCTTATTCTTCGGCTCGTGGCAAAGTGAAAAGGTTCATAGCCGAGTAGAATGTGAAGGAAAACCACAGCGACGACTTGTTAATAAGGCAATCGTCTGATATGCCGCGTAGCTCTATAGTAATCTACCGCACTATGCGCTAAAACGGCAGTAACTATTATTATTTTATTGACGATATTTTCACTCCGTCGACAGAAACTTCAGATAAAAACGTATGGTTCTGATAAGACGGAAAATTCTCCACAAGCTAATGTGCTTTTCGTGCTTTCAGCTATCTACACGTTCGATAAAAATGAAGGGCGAAAGGTGAGTGTGAAACAAAATTTTATTTCGAAGCTACAGTGTTATAGAAGGGTATTTGAAAAACCGTCAGCGCAGAGTTATAGTCAGAGATTAAGCTTTCAGATGATTTCTAACACTCTATGGAATGTTCCTGCCCAGCGAATGAGGTTGGCCTAAAAATCTGTTGCCGTCTAACATATGATTACTAAAATTTCTTTTGTATCCTAGATTTAGGGCAATCAGTTGACGTCCGTCCCTAGATCAGTACGTACGAGACTAAACGTTCGAAGTATGCAGATACATTGTCACCATAGAGGTCAGTTGTCGAGGATATGTTGAAAAACTTCAGTTTCAGTTTTCTTGGCTAAATTCTAGTAAACACAAATGGATACTAAAAGAGATTTTTCGCATTTGATAATTTGAAAAAGATTCTTGCTAACTTTATTTTGATCACATCTAAGATTACTGACTGCAATTCAACACCTCCATTGGAACGCTTCAAGATCCACTCATAGTTTAGTTAGAGGTAAATTTATGCTGAGAAGTTCCACAATTGCTTCTGCCCCAATATTTCTTAGTTTTCAAGGAACATTCTTAAATCACTAAGACATTAACTAAGTTGAAGAAAGCTGTAAACATAGTGAAAAGGCTGCGGTAGTTATAGGAGAATACCAAAACGCTTTATGAGATGATAAAGTTGAGTTGAAGATGAAAATAGCTTAATTCTATAGCGTCATTGGAATAGAATCTAAGCATGCGCGAAAAGTTCATCGGTGAGCTTTTACTGATGGTTCTTTTCCGGATACGTTCAATATGGTGTATTCGTAGAAATCCTCACAAATATTTTTAGTTATATCTACCTCACTAGCAAAGCCTAGCGTTTTCCTTTCTTAGTGAGTAACGATACAATCACATAGCAGTTCATACTCATGCAAATTCACAAGTGATACTA